AAAAACTTGTCTGTCACTTTCAACTCAAACTGCAAAATAGATAGATAGATAGATAGATAGATAGATAGATAGATAGATAGATAGTAACAGGCAGATTGAAATTAATATGTTGAAATAAATAATGAACATAATTTGGTAGATAAATATGTGTCAAAAATAGGATCAAGTAAAAGATCAGATGGAGAGAGACTTTGTTGGCCTCATTATATGCAATCCGACTGCATTCATTTTTTCCGATGAATTATATTCGCTGAAATATCTTTACATTGAATATTTTAATCTAAGATTAATGAGCGCCTGTCAACTGATGATTATCTGGGTGTCCCATATCAAAATGAGCCAGTTCACAAATATCAAATTTATAAAATATATATAGCGAAGGTGCGAATTACAAATAGGAGGTACCAAAATCAAACAAGTGCGAAAATTTAAATATCTGGAAAGTGTTTTACCAGAGGACGGAAAGAGCGACACTGAAATCCGAAGACGTATTAGAAGAGGCAAGTAAACATTCAAAAAGGTAAGTAAATCACTAAGAAATATAAAAATTTCGCTAGAAAAAAGAGTACTAAACTGCTATGTGATCCTTGTCCTTCTATATGACAGTGAGTGCTGGGCAATCTCCTCGAAAATGAAGAAGAGACTTGAAGCAACAGAAGCGTGATTCTACAGAGGAATTCTAAGGATACCGTGGATCGAATATGTGAGCAACGACGAAGTTTTAGAGAAAATGGAAACAAAAAGGAAACTTATACTTAACACCAGGAAAAGACAGCTAAGGATTCTGGGACATAAAATGCGGAAGGGGGTCTTGGAAAATCTGATATCCACGGGACAGATTGAAGGCAAGAGGGACAGAGGAAAATACCATACCGAATGAGCTTGAGTAAAAGGATGGCTGAACAGGGCTTAGGAGAAGAAGAGAAAGACAAATCTTATTAAAAGCTACAAGAGAGAGGAAGTTGTGCAGAGCCATGATCGCCTACGTCCTGAGTGGAAACGAAACATCAAAAAGAAAAGCGAAAAGGGTGATATGAATCAGCAACAAACAGGTTTTTACCAATTCTACTGCGCTGAGAGAATATCAGTAACAGATCGCCAGCCGTATATTAAGAACGTGGCGAAAATAGTATTGCAGATGAGTATGTCAGGAACAGAATCGCAGGAGACAGCATTCTACGACGCAACTGGAAAATTTCTTATGGATATTTTCTCTTCATCTCATATCCCGACAGTCGTTCGAATATTCTTATGAGCTAGATCCGTCAGCTGTTCCAAAGAAAGAAAATATTTGTGAGGTATCTCGTTAGTCGTTCCGGGAAAAATAAAGATTCTCACCAAATTATCGCTAAATAACTCGTCAGAGGTTTCCAGGTGTTTAACTGTTCAACATTTTTCCTAACAGATGAAAAGGAAGCTTATGGCAACAGAGATGTGGTTCAACAGAAGGATGTTGGGAATACCTTAGACAGGACATATAAGCAATAAGGAAGCGTTAAATAAAATAGACAAAACAACGTTTAACACAAACAGACGGTTGAATTTTCAGGCAAATATAACGAGAAAATAGGGTTTGGAGAATTTGACACTCACAAGGAGAAAATGAAGGCAAGAAGAACAGAGGGAAGCCGTGAGTAACCGATATAACAAACATGTATGAAATTGATGGCAGACTAGAAACTGGGAGGTATAGTAAGAGGAAGAAATATTGCTTAGAGCCAGAAAGCTGTGGAGAGCCATGTTCGTCCAAGTAACACGGCACATAAAAGAAGAAAGTGTGTGTTTAGTAAATGACTATCGAATAAAATGTGAGTTTGATTAATAATATACTGGAACCACACAGCGTTTCCAAACGAAGCCATTGTGCTTGCTTCCGCAGAAATACTGTCAGAAAGGCATGAATCCATCTCCAGCGGTTAATAACTAGAGAGATTTCGCTCTCTAGCTTTAATCTTCCACCAATCTAGGAGAAGACCAAATATGAATTAACAGTTGGATATATAAAGGATTAACCTTAAGAGGGATGGTTTCCGCCAGGTCAACTTGTCTAAGACAGGCTACACGATAGTGAAAATCTCTCCGATATTCAACATAGATATGTGGATGGAACTGTTCAGAATCTCAGATGCGCAATGACCCTTCGACCACATCCGATCATAAGACTGATGATGATGGTGTAGAAGATGCTAGCAGTTTGCTCATTTATTTTACCATTAAGAAACATGAAGATTGATTAAGACAGTTGCAATCGATTTTTTAGCTTTGATCTTTATTCATATATAATGTTTAATAACTCTTGACTAATCAACAGACAGGCAAGATAGATTGCATGCATGACCAAGATGAAAATTTGTTGATGATGAATTTTGTTATACTGCCAATATTTCTCATTGCCTTATTCTTTTGGCATCTTCTCAACAGTATATTAATATCTTCAAGTAAATATAAGGTTGTAACTTGATTACTGTAAAAGTTGTTTTATTGATTTTTGTCTCTTTTAAGGTTCCCCCGTCGATAATGTCCACATTTCTATCTTCAGTTCAATGAGATAGAATGAGGTTAATCAATCAGGTTTATTGATTATCGTTCTAAAGAATCGTTATCGTTTCAACAGGTCTATTGTTGCCAATCTTACATGCGTCATCGCATCATCTACCTGTTTTTATTTTGTTTTTTTTGGGGGGGGGTTATTGATTGATTGATTTGCTTTTTACGACTTATCAACCTTTCGTAGGTTATAAGAAAATATTTTTAGATTGTAAGAAATTTTTTTTCAGTGTAATAATGATTTACTGAAACAAGTTCTAATATTTAACCCATAGCCGGGAGGATAAGAGGTAGATTCAAACCTTTCCCAAAGCTACTTGCGCGTAAGTGAAAATCACGAACTCGACTGTAATTCGAACTAACTCTCCGTTTTTTCATTCCGAGCCGTTATCCATTACACCGCCCGCACATCCAAGCTTACAGCACCTGGTATTCCCAAGCTGACATCCATCTAGATACTGACCAGTCTCAATATTGCTTAACTTCGTTTCAACGTGATATGGCTGTAAGCTTCGTGTATGTGTGTGAGCGCAGATTCTTACAGATAACGTCAACGTGAAACCTTCATCTTCTTCGTTAATTGTAACTTTTGTTTATCGTCTGTTTTAATTAGAACAGATAAAATATATGAAAATTACTCCATCTTAAGGTAAGAAACAGCGATATTCAGATGCTGATAGAGGTTTACATTCATAAAGATAATGCATTCAAACTATGTTTTCGCAAATACTACTATAATTTATTCCTGCAAACTCCTTATAGAGTATAAGCCTGAAATTACACCCTACCAGAGGATTTGGTTGTTTGATAACGCCGTTCAACTACGCCTATGTCAGTCCGGACACCATTCCCACCCTCTTGACTAGTAATCTCCAGGTTTCCTTTTGTACTCCATTCCAAGTAAATCCTCTTTCCCTGTCCATTCTATACCAGTGGCTATCTAGTGACATAAGTCAACCGATTTAAATTTGCTAGTACGAGAGTTCAATCCTCTGTTGAGACCGAACTCACTGTACCTACGAATTGCTCTGGCGTGCGTAACAAGCTTTCTACGTTAGGCGCATTGACATTTACTAAATTTGACTTGAGCTGACACAAATCCGCACCAGTGAAGTCCTCAGTGATGATAGAACTCACTACACTTTCTAACGATGGTACTACGTTAAGGGTACTGATCTTACTTATTATAAAACCCAGGTTGTGTGTGTGTGTGTGTCTGTGTGTGTGTGTGTGTGTGTGTGTGTGTGTGTGTGTGTGTGTGTGTGTGTTTATATATTGGATCAAATTACATTTTTCAACCGATTTCAACAAAACTTCACAGAACTACGTAAAATTACCCTGTGGTGGTTCTGACAGCGCCCAAAATTGGAAAAACACAATTGTTTTTGCACGAAATCAATTTGAAAACATGATTAAGAGGGATTAATGAAAGGGAGACAACTCATATCGAGTTATACTTATTAATATCGTTATACTCATTAATATCGAGTTATCGAGTTATACTTATAAAACCCAGGTTGGTTGTGTGCGCGCGCGCGTGCGTGTGTGTGTGTGTGTGTGTGTGTGTGTGTGTGTGTGTGTGTGTGTGTGTGTGTGTTCGTTTATATATGGGATCGGATTTCCTACATTTTTCAACCGATTTCAACAAAACTTCACTTTTTTTGGCAGGTAGTGTTTCTTATTGTCTTGCACACTTTTCTCTTTATTTTTACATTCAGAATGCGTTAAAAATTCCATTTACAAGACAATTGTTTATAATAAAATTCTATTCAATCGGTAGACTCATAACGATTAAAAACAATGTTTTTGTTTGAGTTTGGGTTTGACCAATTCGTAAAAAAAAATAAGAAATAAAACTAATTAAGACATGCGTGTCCGTCAACCTTAAACAATAAACTTTGTCAATTTTATTTTTCAGTCTTTATGATGGTGGATACTTGATCTATCTCTTACTGTTATATCCCCGGGCAACGCCGGGCTCTACTGCTAGTAATTACTAAAATTCCTCTTGAACTGGCAAAAGGGCATAGTGTTCGATATTACCCAGGCTAGACTGTAAAAATAATTATAATAAATCCTAGAAATATTTTTTTTATTTCTTTTCCTAAACAAAACGATAGTGTGAGCTCGAAGAATGCCTGACTCGGATAATTGACGCATTTCGAGATTCATCTGTACTGGTCTGAACTTGGGTCCAATACGACCCAAACAGCGTGGGGGTAATTTGAACCGAGCGGGTATGGTACCGTGAAGTGTTGGATTGCTTTTGTCTAAATTGTGATATAAGACTGAAAAATGTGGTTGTGTGGTTGCGGCAGTTAAGAGGGTCAGAGCTCTGATACTCGTCTGGAACTCTCTATACTAGGTTGCTTTGAGTGTTCGTGGTTTCAGAAGAGGCAGCCTGTTAACATTTCGAAGTAGCAATTGCGTCGAAAGCGTGCAGAGAATAATAGATGGTCCGTTCGTTTGTTTTCTTTTTCTTCTCTCTCTCTCTCTCTTTTCCCCCATCTCTCTCTCCCCATCTCTCTCTTCCCCCCATATCTCTCTCTCTCTCTTTCCCCATCTCTCTCTCTTTCCCCATCTCTCTCTTTTCTCCATCTCTCTCTTCCCCATATCTCTCTCTCTTCCCCATCTCTCTCTATTCCCCCATCTCGCTCTCTCTCTCTTCCCCATCTCTCTCTCTTCCCCCATCTCTCTCTCTTTCCCCATCTCTCTCTCTTCTCCCATCTCTCTCTCTCTCTTCCCGCATCTCTCTCTTTCCCCATCTCTCTCTCTCTCCCCATCTCTATCTCTTCTCCCATCTCTCTCTCCCCAATCTCTCTCTCTTCCCATCTCTCTCTTTCCTCCATCTCTCTCTTCCCCATCTCTCTCTCTCTTCCCCATCTCTCTCTCTCTCTCTTCCCCATCTCTCTCTCTCTTCCCCATCTCTCTCTCTTCACCCATCTTTCTCTCTTCCCCATCTCTCTCTCTCTCTTCCCACATCTATCTCTCTCTCCCCATCTCTCTCTCTTCCCCCATCTCTCTCTCCCCTCCATCTCTCTCTCTCTTCCCTCCATCTCTCTCTCTTCCCCCATCTCTCTCTCTTCACCCATCTCTCTCTCTCTTCCCCAATCTCTCTCTCTCTCTTCCCCCATCTCTCTCTCTCTCTCTCGAAATCCAAAGACGACACACAACGCAGTAGTTAA